TCTTCAGCACACGGGTTCTGTAGTCAACCACCATAGTGAGCAGATCAGGACGGCGGGAAATCTCAAAGATATGCTCAATGTAGGAGAGGTTGTCTGGAAAGAGGCAGGACACTGGGTCAGACCTGGGCTACAGAGGGCAGGTCCCCTCTTCTTGTTTTACTTATTTTTGGTACTGGTGATCAAACTCAGGACCTTGTACTTGGCAGGCTGGCACTTAAGCCGCTGAGCTGTATCCCTTGGCATCTGGTTCCCCCATTCTACCAGGCCAATGTTTGGGAGCTGCGCCTGAGTTGTTCACATTACCAGAAGGGGCAGCAACAGAAGAGGGACTACTAAGTCAGGAAGAGACAGCTGAGGCACCCTGCTACAGTACTGTTGCAGGAAAACTGGTCCACAGAACCCACACCGCACCCTATCCCTTTTCTACTTTCCTTCCAACTGAAAATCAGGAAGAATTCCCAAATAGCACATGTGCAATGGGGGTGGAGGGCAACCTCTAGACAATCTAGAGAAAGACACAGCTGCAACCAGAAAGCTCTCCACGGCTTGGTCAGTGCCAAGAGATGACAGATGCCCTCAGACCTGCTGCTGTGGCTCCTACCCTGACTGTTGCTACAGTCTAACTACAATATCTTCTCATTGAGCTTTCCTCCCTGTTACCCACTCTACAGTCAGAGTCCTGTATCTGAAGGGCCCTGAAGTCACTTGCCTTTCCCAAGGCCTTCTGCAGCAGTCTTCCCAGCTACTTATAAACATACCCAATGTCCCCATCAAGCTAAGCAGGACTCAGCTTTTCAAACACACCACTAACTCCCACCTCTGAAAGCCTCAGGCTGTGGTAGACTGCTCTAATCCTAGTCCCTTGACCCCTGCCCCCCAGCAAAACTGCCTTAAAGTTAGAAAATATTAGAACCTGGCTTTCATTTTAAATTTTACTGCTTCTAAATCCTATTTTGTGTCCTCATATATGTGGTAACACAAGTATTTAAATATTTTTACTGACAAGGGACATGATGAACAATGTAAATTCTGTGCTAGAACGCTAGCACACCTCATTACACGTCCCTTACTCTGCCTCAGCATAGAGAGGTGCACTCTGTATATGGTTCTCTGCTGAAAGAATCGGGCCCCTCCCCCACCTTTGTCCAGCTTGTTGTGACTCTCCAAGAAGCTAAACCAGGCACTGCCCGTGGTGATCTCCTCACTCTTCTCACTGGGGATGTCCTCCTTACAGGCTGACTTGAGCTGTTCCAGGTCTTCAAGTGTGATGTTGTTGGTCAGGTCCTGGAGGAGAGTCCCATACTCGGCCATGACTAGGGTTGGGAAGCAAGAAAGGAGGGGAGTCTGAATTTAGTGTACAAGGCCTGGTTCACTCATACCACCCACCTCCCCCTCTAGGGCATAGCACTGGAGGGAGAAAAGGGCCTAGGCTAGGCAGTGGGGATACACAGGAAGAAAGCTAGGAACCAAGTTGGAGCTTAGAGTGACAAGTTGTACCCCCCCACACTATCTTTTTCTCCCCCCACAACAGTAACCCTGACAACAGCTCCCCTGACTGAGGAGGCGGTTACCATGGCAACCTGCTCCCTACTTTCTCACCCGCTGTCTCCAAGTCCCCCCCAGAATCACCCCACCCACCTCCAAGCCCTCCCCCTGTCAGGAAAAACACACTCAAAAACAACAACCAGAGGTTCACTGTGGCAGTGAGAAGCACGAAAGGAGGAGCTGGAGGGATTGGTTGATGCTCACATGTCCTAGCTTGCATTCTTCAGAAGCAGAGGGGTCCCTCACGTCCACTCCCATCATCCCATCCTGGGACTCATCTTGGATGGGTGCCTATTTGCTTGGCCTGCTGGTTCCCTGGCCCCTCCATGCTTAAGCCCTTTATTAAGTCATTAGGGCTTGGGGTGGGAGAAGCAATGGGCAGCCCCCACTTGTGTAGAGCCCATTTTTCTCCCTCGATGGTTAGTGGGCCTCTAATCAGCCCTGTCTCCTAGCCTTTGTGCTGCGCCTGCAGCCCCCGCGCCCAAGAATACCAAGCGGCTGGCTCTGGCCCCCTGCCCAGTTCCCAGGCTGGCTGGGGGGGTGGGGGAGGGGAGTTTAGCTGCAGCTTTGGGCGAGTGGCAGGAAGGGAACTGCCATCCCTTGCTTCAACATCCTGTTGGCACTACCTTCAGCATGGCCTCTCACCTAGGCCTTCACTCCATCCTTTCATGATGCTTAGGTTGAGACGGTAAGGAACATTTCTTTGAGGCTTCCCTCCACTAAAATAGGAACTGTGGCTAAGAGGAAGAAAGGTCAGACCTTACAATGCACTTTGTAGATTGGATAAAATGTGAAAATAGCAGTGGGCTTAAAACAGGACTTATTTTCTAATTATATATTTATAGTACATCAAGCATTAAAAGTAAATCATGTCATAAACACTAGATAGACCAAGGTATGGAGCCACATGAGGTTATCCACAAATCACCCCGACATTGGGCTGCAAATGTTGTAGACCAAAGGGAACATGTTGACACACCCTCACTTCCCGTACTCCAGGACTCCTATAAGGGGAACTGAGATAGGCAAAGCATCACATAGTAAGAGGTGTGGGCCCAGGAGCCCCATTCCCAGCCCCCTACCTGGATCAAATAAACAAGTCTCCCTTGGTGGCAGGCACCGTGACCCAGACAGACAATGAGCTGGACAGCAAGACTTGCACGACCTCCACAAGGAGCAGGCATTCACAGGCATGTTCATCTTGTACACCCAGGTGCAAAAAGAAGGGCCCACTGGAGGCCCTGCCAGGCTGGGCCAGGAACAATGCTCTCTGACTGTCAGCACCAAGAACCATCTCCGCTTTGAAATCTAGGTCACAGCAGCAGGCTCTGGAGCCCAACCCCGCCTCTACTAATAATCTGAGGACAGAAAAGAGGGAATGTGATGGGATGATAGGAAAGGGGTCCAGAGAATGAGGGAAAGCTGGAGGTGGAAAGACAGTACAGCAAAGAGACATTCTGTCCCAGTGAGGAGACGGGGGGTCAGCCAGCACTGACCTGGAGAAGTGGACAGGACAGCATAGGAAAGAGACAGATTCTGTCCCAGTCAGGAGACTGGGGGCCAGCCAGCACTCAGCTGAAGAAGTGGCTAGAACTGAGGGTCATAGTGACTGCCTCGCTTTTACATGGAAGAGTTTGTAAATATGAGAAGTCCTGGGGGGAGGGAAGCGTGTGTGTGTGTGTGTGTGTGTGTGTGTGTGTGTGTGTGTGTATCTCTTGGGAGGAGTTAAGATTTAGGGCTCTGAACATAAAACATCTATAGGGGAAGTGGGTGGAAAGGGATTAACGTGTGTAACACACCAACCAACCCACAGACGGGGATACAAGCAGGCCTCTAAGAGAAAGGAGGGTAGGAATGTTAATGTGGCTGGGGGAGAGGTGTGTCTTCAGAATCCTATGTATGGATCCTGCTCCCTGGCTGTGTACAGGTGTGTGGAGGAGGCAGTGGGCGTGTTTGGACGTTCTGGTAGTGGAGGTGCGTGCCACTGTGCCAGGCTGGATGTGTGGTTGTGGGTGCACCGGCTGCGAGTGTGTGGGATGTATGTTTGTATGTGTCTGCACTAGCTGAGGGTGTGTGTAAAAAGGTGCATAACCACAGGCTCACAAGGCAGAGGGTGAGGTGAGCGTGTGTACAGAAGGGAGGGCCAGTGCTGGAGTTGGGAAAGGGAATGAGACCGAGGCTGCAGAGGGGCGGGGGAGGGGGAGTACATGGAGCACACAGTCCAGGGCTGCAGCCTCAGCTCTGCTGTTACCATAGCAACCTCAGTTCAGGGTGCCCCCCCCCCCAGTCATCAGGACAATAATGCCACTGGATGGGAGGAGTGCAGGGAGTGGTAAGGAGAGACAGAAAGAACAGGGGTAGGCCCCCTGAGGAAGCCAGGAAAGGCAAAGTTACCTCCTGCCATGCTCATGCCCAGGTGTTGTGGCAGAGGCCAGCGCAGGGGACTTGGGGAGGGGGGACTTCTGAGTACAGGGAGGTGGACTGTCCTTTATGAGGCTCTCAAGTCTCACTGATCAACTGTTCTCTGGCTGGTCTGGCCCTGGTAGGGCCTAGCACAGCATGACTCCTTTATCCTCCATGTCACTTTCCTCATCAGAGATTAGAATTCCTCAGGACCTGTGGAGAAGTCTTGTGCCCTCCTGGCTCTGAAAACTGGTCCTGATCTCTGAAGCAACTCAGAGGGCTGTCCAGCAAACACCCTGCAGCGGCAGCCTGGGCGGAGCCCATTCTTGGGACAGGATACTAGGCAGGAACTGGGAACCAGAGCCGAGGTTGGCAGGAAGTCAGTCCCCTTCCCTCCCGGCTCATTCTGTGAGCTGCTCACTGCTTCCTCACACCTTCCTTCCTTTCATAAGCTGGCCCAAGGGGAAGCCCTCACAAGACTGCAACCCACTGAGGATACTGGGGAAGAGAAATGGGCTAGGCAGGCGTCCCTACACACTGACCTGTTGGGGCAGAAGTTGGGAAGATGGCAGGCTATACTATGTGGACGCTGGGCAAGGAAGAGGCAGGCCCAGGGGTGTTTTGCAAAGTCAAAGTCTGACAAGGGGAATGCACAGAGCACATAGCATAACCACCTGTGGAGGAGGTGGTGGTGGCAGCAGGCGAATGCATTTGCCATCACCTCACAGTAGATTAGCATTTGGTTCCCAATCTCAGTAAACCTGAGGGAGAAGGAAGCCTGAGGATTAGGAGCTGCTCGCTGCCCCTCTTCCCTCACATCTGCGGCAGCTGCCTCAGCAGAGGGGAGGGGCCATCCCACACAGCTGCAAGGGCCCAGACACCCCTGCAAGGACAGCAGGGGCCTCTGGGACACTCAAATCTGCGGTCTTGTTGACTGAAGTTGGAGGAAGTAATCAAGGACAAGCAGAGGGGTGGGAAGAGAGCAGGGTTTTAGCTGTCCTATTTTAAATCATATCCTAAATCATATCTAGGCCCTAAACTGAAGCAGTCCTATAAATTCATTTCCTTTAATATCATAATTGATTTCTTTCCCAAGCTTCTACCTAGCTTGGTGGGGGCTGGGTATCTTTATTACTATAAAGGAAGGAAGGGAAAGGTTCTTAGACCACAGGGTCAGCCTGGGATGGAGTAAGGGGAAGCAGGCCATATGGGCCTCAGAATGTTCAGGAAGCAAATCAACCCCTGGGCATGGAGGCAGAGGCTCAGCCTCAAGCTGTTAGTCTAACAGAAGGACCAGGTCCATGCAGGGGGCAGCAGGAGATGGTTGGCACTGGGTCAAGCAGGACAGAGGAAAGCTGCTTTGTGCTGAGTAGAGGGACAGGGCCCACGATGCTCCCTGGTCCATCTGCACTCATCTGATGTGACGTGGCCTGCTTGTATTCTCTGTGTCTCCCTCAGCCATGTCTCTCCTGGTCTTTTTTCCTCCTTTCCTTTTAATGGGCACTCATCCCTTTTTTGTTTTTTGTTTTTGGTTTTTAATTCACCTGTCCCATTGGGTAGCAGCTATGAACACTTAGGACTCCTGGATTCTGTGACTCTGTCCCCCTCTCAGTACTCAGAGCTACCTACCATTAGGAGTGAGCGAGCCTGAGGACGCAGGCTGCCTCCTGAGGCTGGCTGCCTACTGCTCAGAGGAGATGTCCATCTTGACAGTGTAGGTGAGGATGTGAGAGCGCTGCTGGGATCCTGCGGCCCTCTTCATGCTTGACAACACATGCACACATGGTGGGGGCAGGCGTCACAAGTGAGGAGAGCCCCACAGAAACTGGCAGCCTAGGGCATTGCCAGCAGGTTCCCCGAGGGGAGTGTTTACCCACGGAAGCACGAGCAATTAATGCTAATCTCTGACAACCCGAAGCCAGACACACAACCTGGACAAAGTAGACACGTGGACCAACACGCTCCTCCTAACTCCCTGCTCCCATCCTCCCTCGTTTCTGCGCCTCCCTAGTCCACTCTGCATCCTCTGGCCTTCTCTGTCTCTCACTTCCTCCATTTCCATGGTTCCCTGGCACTGGATCTGTCCTCTGGCTCTGTCCCTTTCTCCACGTCTGTCTCTCCACATTCCTCTCATTCTCTCTTCCTCCGACTTCAGCCTCATTGTTGGCTGACTCACACTCATTCTTTCTCTCTCTCTCCCTCTCTTCCACTCCCTTCTCCTCCCCTGGCCACTCTGAAGCCCTGAAGCTGGCCCCTCCCAGCATGCTAAGCTCTAACTGGACCTGCAGGAGAGGCCACAAGCAGGATCTACTCTCCTCACCCAGCTAAGACTGGTCAAGCTCCTGTCTCCTTGTCCTGGAAGAGTGACACAGGATTTTAAAGCTGCCCAGGAAATCAGAGTGGACATGGGGACAAGGAGCCATTCTGTCTACCACTCAGCTGTCTCTCAGACAGGTCTCTGAGCCCCAAGTCCAGGGGACTCCACTTGGGTGGCCGTGGGTTGTGAGCAGCTGGATGTGTAGTGCTGGGCAGCGAGATGTGTGCTAGACGATGTGTGTAAGAGTCACATGGTTGTGTGTCACTGTATGTGCTGGCTGTCTCTTACAGGTGTGCTTGTGCTGTGTCAGATTGACACAGATTCAGTAGGATTAATTAGGGGTTTTACGTTAGAGACATTATTCCTCTACACCCTCAGCTCCTTCCTCCTCCCCACAGCTCTCAAAGATCCCACCTCTCCCCAGGTGCAGCAGCCTGGAGTGCGGGCACATGGTGACAGCAGCCGGCCAGCGGCCAGCCAGCGGGGGCGAGGCCCAGGCCAGGGCCAGGGCCAGGGCCAGGGCAGGAGGGAGGGCCCTAGCTGGCCGGCTGAGCCGGCTGGGCGGGAAGCAGGCTGCATCCTGATCCTCAGGCCCCGATGCGATCCCAAGTCAACGCTCAGCGTAGAAGGGATGGTGGAAGCCACGCCACCTCCGGTGAGGTGCGTGCTGCTCTCGGCACCGCAGAGACGACCCCAGGGGACCGGCCCAGAGCGGACCAGCGGGATCCTCACGCTTCCCCACGCGCCCCCGGCTTCCCGATCCCCACCCCTCCAAACCTACACCCCACATCAGTCCCTTCCCCAACACACGTCTACCCTCCTCCCCTCTCACCGCCTCCGGAGCGGAGTGCTCAGGGCGCGGGCACGCCTGGTCCCGGTTCCCGAGCAGCGTCCAGTGCCTCCTCCTCTGCTTCTGCCGCCGCCGCCGCCTCTTCCGCTCGCAGAGCTCAGCTCGAGCCCAGCGCCGCCTCACCCCACCCGGCTGGCCGGTGATGTCAGAGCCGGGAGGGGCGGGGGGCGGGGAGGGAGGGAAAAGGGAGGGGAGGGGGCGGGACGGAGGGGCTTGGGTTCTGGAAGGCTCCTAGGTGGAGGGAAGGCAGAGTTGGGCTGAGGGAGGGAATGGGACGCCTCCTCCCCTAAACTGCGAAACAAATTTTAGATTTAGTTTTTTGCCAATGGGACACCTTTTGACCTTTAAATGGCCATGGTGGCTGGGACCCCAAGGAGACATAAGAGTAGATTTGGGCTTAGGGATTCTGAAGGCCTTGGCGTCTGAGTTCTCTTAACTACTTGCTTTGGTATTTGGGGAGAACCTCTTTCCTAGCTGTCTGGATCAGGGAAGTGGTAAGGGATCAGGCTTGTCTACAATGGGATGGAGGTAGGGCCGGGGCCCAGTGTCAAGGTGGAGCCTCCTTTACATCACGAGCCACGGCCCCGGGGAGATGCCAAGGAAGCCCCCTTGTGCCGCTCTCACCTTTCCTCAATATGCCCCTCTACCTTCCCCCACCATGATGTAATTTCATTTTCTGGGGAGAAAAAAAGCCGTGAGCTCAGCATGCAAATATAGACAACTAACAAAGACACACTTAGGTTGGTCCTAGCTCTACCCTTCTGCCCAGGGCCAGCCACTCTCACTTCCCTTCCGCCTCTGGGACTTTCCTCCCCCAGACTCTCAGCCGGGCTGAAAGAGGAAAGAAAGAATTGGGGAAGTATGCACATTCACCCCAGTTCCATCCTAAAGGGTCTCCTCTCAACCCTGGCAGGATCTGGCTCAGGAGGAGGCATGGGCACCAGAGCACGTATCCCCATTTTTCAGTCCAGCAGCCTCGGGTGAGGCCCACTTTCTTGGTCCACACTATCCCTAGGAGCAGCACAGGTTCCTGCTGCTTTGCTTTTCACAGGCTTTCTCTTTGTTCTTGCTCTCCCGCTGTGTGCCCTGCCACTGTCCCTTTCAGAGTCACAGACACATGTATAACTCACCTTTGTGTATGTATCTCATTTGCTCTGTGTTGTTGTAAGGTCAAAACTTAGTTTGTTGATTCATCTTCAAGATGCAGAGAAACTGCACGACTTATCCACAGACATATCGTATTTATGTGAAATACGACAGGGAACCAGACAAGGCTCGTCTTGTGTCGCTCTTTCCTTAGGCAAATTGTGCCCACAAGCCTCAGTATCTTTACCAGGAAGCTAGCACTGCCAAGGCCTATCTTATATAGTCCTGAGACTCAGAAATAGTATGTCTCTAGAGGCTGAAGCATGCATGAGTGCTTTTTTTTTTTTTTTTAAAGAACTATTATTTAGTTCAGGATCTTTTTCTGCTCTATGCTACAGAGTAAGCGTCATAATATTTCTTATAATATTAGCCTAGTTTCCATTCTACTTATTAAACATTTATTAAATAGGTATGAGTCGGATGAATACATTGTTTCTATTCTCCACACTCCTGCCAACTTCGCTAAGAACACTTCCTGGATTTGTCTGTGAAGAATGAAAAACCTCAGGTCTCGTTTTTCCATACTTAGAAATCCTCTAAGTCTCTTGGCAATACCTGTACACCTGGTGCATGAAAACTATAGTGTCTATTATACATGGGTTTGCTTGACAGTTGAGTCCGCCCTGCTCTCAGTTCCTTTGTGTTTACCCCAGCCTATTTTGGTCCTATTTTGGAGAGACGGTGGGTTCTTCCCACAAAGAACTCCAACAGCGCTGGGAGCGGTGGGGGGGGGGGGCACTATGTGCTCAGAAGTCCACGTGTCTCCACTCCCAGGGCTAATGCTTGGGTCCAGCTTCTTCCAGCCCCCCTCTGATGATCTTAAGTCTCTGGCTATGAGCTGAGTTCCTCCCCCAGTATCTCTGTCCTCTTTCCTCTCCGATGCCATCCTGATTATCATTGCTACCAAATGAAAATGTTGCTCTTCCTCCCCCGCTCACAGAATTAAGTTCAAAGCCTTCTGCCACCAGCCCCTCTGTGTTTACTCAGATCTCATATCCACAGCGTGAATATTTCTCCCCTTGTCTCTATGGTCCCCATGCCCCCAGTAAGACAAATGCATCCTACCAGCGCTGGTGATGTTTTCAGGAACTAAAATGCTCCCCTCTCAACTCCTCTGCCTCCAATCAAATCCCATTCTTTAACTTAAGGCCTAGAAAAGACTCATTTCCTTTAGGAAGTCATCAGGCTCCCTCTGCTCTCTCTTCTGAGCCCATCCTGTTTTTTCACTTGTTCCTTCTTTTAACTATAACATTAAGCACAACTTTTTACGAACCAGGCCCTGTGAAAATAAAGAGAAAGCCAGGATTGCCACCCTCATGGGGCACCAGTTTAGTGGGGAGCACAGACACGTGAATGAGGAGCTGTGCTAGAACGCACTGAGTGTGGGGATCCCAGCGCAGGGGGGACCCAAGGGAGGGGGGGCCTCCGAGAAGGCCCTGCTGAGGAAGCATAATTGGGGATCAGTCTTGATGTTCAAACAAGAGCTACAGGGAGGGCGTGATCAAGCAGCATATAATCACTTAATCACACATTGCTTTGTATTTTTCTTCAATTGTTTAGTATGCCTGTTTGACTTCTCAGTGTGGCTAATCAGCTGAAGAGCAGGGACAGGCCTGGCACTCTCTGTTCTTCCAGAGCCCCACAGCAGCACTGGACAAACACCATGTGTTCAGAAAAGGCTTATTGACTTGAAGCTGAGAAATAATCCTGGCTCCTCTGGGCCCACTGCCTAGAGAGAGCCCTGCCCCCTCCATTGTGGTCCGCAAACTCATTTGTAACAAGGCACCCAGCTCGGAAGCTCCTATCTGTCCTCTGGTCACCTCCCTCCTGCCATAGGGGTGAGACTTCATCCGCAGACACTTGCTCATGCTGCCCCAGATCTCTTTATTGAGGCCTTGCATTTGACCCAAATACATTAACGAGAAGTGGCTGAGATACAGCCTCAAACATGGTACACCCTTCCTTCCTCCTGTCCAGGGACAGGACTGTCAGAAGAACATAGGATTTGAGAGACTGGGATAGGGGGCAGTATAAAGAAGGAACAGAAAAGAGGTGATACCCACAGACACAGCAAAAAGGAAAACCACCAGACAGAGGGCGGAGCATCATGGAAGAGACAAAGGATAAATACAGGTGAGTTGCAGGGTTAGAACCAAAGTCATAGGAGAAAGCCAGGCTAGCTTCTAAGGAGAAGTAACTTCTTTCCTCATCACCTGAGGGAGATCAGGATCTCAGCACCCAACATGTAGGCCCCAACAGGCCCTCTGGTAGAGAATGACCTGGTGTCCTGGGAAGAACTCAGGGATGGACAGCGGAGGGAAGAAGGCACAGGCAGAGATGGGCAGGAGGCGGTTGCCATGGCAACTAGTCATCATCATCGTCATCGTCGTCATCATCATCATCGTCATCCTCTGTGTTGATCTCACCCTCCAGCACGTCCTCCAGCCAGTCCTCCAGCTCCTCGGCTGAAGGTAGGTCCTCCTCATCATCCATCTCCATCCACACACTATCCGCCTGGTGGGGGGGGGGTCACAAACAGGAACCAGAGCTGAGTCCCCGCTTGCCAGGCCCCGCACAGCCTCCCTCCCATCCTCTACCTCTCAGAGCCAGGGAGGCTGCCCAGATGAGAGGCTGGGTTAGGACCGTGACCAGCAGGAGCGGAGGACTGAAGGCTGCGCTCCCTCCCGTGTTTCCCACGCTCTTCCCATACCAAGCTTTTAAAACACCTTTCTATTGTGTCCTCGGTGCAGAACCATGCAACAGAAGAAAATAAGTGCCTCTTCCCTGTTCAAAGCTTTCCATAGCTTTCATGATCGCTAGACTCAAATCACAACAAACTGCCTACTTATTCCCAAATCTGATAGGCATTTTTCTACTATTCATAGTCCAATCTTGCTTTTAATCTTAGCTCAGTTTGTAAGTTTTCTTAATTGTCATTGGTTGAAATCCTACACATTGTACAATGCCCGCTTTAATGCCACAATGTCTTAAACTCCTCTTAAGTAGAAATCATTTTTATTTCCTTGCCTTCCTAACATTTTATTTGTATCTTTATCATAAATTTTATCCAATCCAACAAACCCAGGCCTGGTGGCACACACCGGTGATCCTAGCACTCTGGGAGTCTGAGGAAGGATGGTCACAAGTTTGAGACCAATGTTGGCAATTTGGTAATTTGGTAATTTATGCCTCAACATAAAAAAGAAGACTGGGGCTGGGGCTCTGTGGGACGGCTTTGGGTTTCATCCTGAGTACTACAAAAACAAGTTGATCCAATCCAGGCTTGTAGTTAATAGAATACCTACCTGCCCTTCTGATTAGGATGATTAATTAATTCTATGAAAGTAAAGAATGTGGCTTATTGCAGTCAACTGAACAGTTTTGAAGCATGTACTGTGTGGTGCATGGGTTTTTTGCCCTTATAAAATCTCCAAGTCTACTGAAAAAAAAAAAAAATAGGGTATATGAAAGTCATGTCCTCAATGCCAGATGGGCTGCAAGAGTGTCTGGGAAGGGAAGGAGTCCAAGACTCCATGGACCGGAATGGAGCTGGGCTTTGAAGGAAGGGCAGCCAACTGGATAGGGATGGGGCAATTTCACATCACAGGTCCAGTCATGGATGGGTGTGGCTGCTGCTCCAGGGAAGGGCTCAGTGGGCAGAGCAGAGGAGAGCCAGCGCCACTGAGACACAGCTGGGGCTCGGAAGGAAACTCACATCAGTAACATTGACGACTCCTATCTGTGGGGCTGACAAGTCGATGTCAAATGTCTTCTCCCAGTATGGAACAAGCTGTGGGGAGATCCAAACAGGGCAGCTTAGTGGGATTTAGGTATACAGGGTCCAGGAGGGTAAGTGTGAGGGTCAGCCCAGGGATAAAGAGGGCGCAGCAGAGGGCACAGCAGCAGCAGGTAAGAGCTAAGCAGGGAAAGAATGGAAATCCCAAA